CCCTCTATTTCCCACCAAGTCAATTATTATAATTTTTTTCATATATAATGTAAATCCCCTAGTTCTTCAATGCAACTACTTTTGCAACACATATCTCAGTTCCTGCAACGTAAAAACTGCCAAACATGGAATAGAGAGTTCCAGAGTAGGATATCTCCTCAAATTTCGATCCTCACAAACCAAAACTTATCTCAACTTTTCACATAGACTTCTTTTCATTACTTAAGTCTCAAAATTTGCTGTAGTGCAAAGCTAACCACTCTGTTTTAAGTTATCCTTGCTTTCTCTTCTTCTGAGAATTTGTGCTCTATCAATTGTTCATTTTCTTTTCCTATTATTGCATCAGTCAGAAGAGACTAAGTTATAATGTGGTAGCAAACGACTTTAACATATCAGTGGCTTAGGAAAATACAATCGTGTTTTGTCCACACTGGATGCCCATTTCATATTAGCTGGGGCTGCTGCTTAAGTTGCCTTTGTTTCAGGACCCAGGATGACAGAATAGCCTCCATTGGAAAAATTGTCAGTCATCATGGTAGAGGGGCACAGAAGCCAGCAAAGCCACATTGGTTCTTAATGCTTACACCTGGAAGACACACGCATCACTTCTGCATACACTTTGTAGAACCCAAAGCAAGTCACATGACCAAAGTTAATGTCAAAGGGGTTGTTTGCCCAGAAGGTAGAAAATTGGTATATTTGAGAACAAGGTAATGACTGTATATCCTTGTTATGTCCTTCCCCTCCACACGTGAATATTTTCAAGTCTCTTCCATATTCAAGGAAGCATACTGTTGTTATTAGGTGCCATTAAGTTGGTTCCGACGCTTAGCAACCCTATGTACAACAGAATGAAACGCTGATCAGTCCTTTGCCATCCTCACAATTGTTACTATGTTTGAACCCGTTGTCGCAACCACCAAACAATCATGCACAAACAAAACTCCTTTCATTTTCTTTGTTAGGATTCTTCACTTCCAGTTTTCCACCCACTGCTTAACAATGCTCAACGTATTGCAATCTGGAGTCTATCACTCCATGTCAAGACATTTTCAGTATTTTACTCAACCTTTCATAATGGCGTTTTATACTGTGCAGAACCTCTCTAACTTAAAATTCCCTCATTCTTTTGTCTGTGTAGCTCTTTAAAGTTTTTGTTCTTTTGCTTTTCCTATTTGAGTTCCTTTAGTTTCACTGTATATTATCTTCCTGAGAGATTTTAATTATATCCACGGCTCCAGTAACCATCTCTATGGATGATAAATCCCATATCCCATGTCCAGTCCAAGGTCATATATTCAACAGCAAACTTTTGTGATATTTGTGGTCCCTGTAATGGCAGCATCAGCATCACTTGTGTGTTTTTTTTTAAACGTAAGAGTCTTGGACCCTGACCCAGAACTACTGAATTGAATCTGCATTTTGATAAGATCCTGAGGTGATGTTTTTAAATATTAAGTTTGAAATATGGTGCTTTACTTGATTTTCTCATTGAGATGTTTCAAAGAAATCTCAAACTGAACGTATTGAGAATGGAATTGTTAATTAGTAATTATCTTTACTCATGTATTAATTTTAAAAAATATTTATTGAGTCTACTATATACTACCACCACCCCTCTGCAATATATTTGGTGAATAAAACAAATAAAACAATAATAATAAAAAAAAATCCCTACCTGCCTGGGACTTTTATTCTATAATGAAGAGTAGTTAACAAACAACAAAACATATATTATTATGATATGCTAGAAAATGGTATGTGCCGTTGAAGTGTGGAGATATTGAAGAAGGTAATGACAATCATAAGTATAATGTGGGACATTGAGAAGGTAATATTTCCCTTCCTTTATTTATCTCAGTTAATGACACCCCCATCCCCTAGTCACCTCAGGGGAAAAAACTACAGATTATCTCAAAATTCTTATTTTACCTGTCAATCCTAGAATCACAGTGTCTTTCGAAGATTTCAACTGTTCTCATCCCTACTGGTAGCTTTTATGCACATCTCTCTTTTCTTTTTTTTTTTTTCCCCTTGTATTTTGGCCTTAGCCCACTAGTGACCTCACTGTTTTTCTATTTCCACATTACTGCCATGATAATTAGGTCACTTGCTTGCTTGGAAACTTGTAATGATTCCCACTGCCTTCTGAATAAAACTGAAACATCTTATGATAACCAATAAGGCAATAAGGTTGGTGGTAATCTGACCTCCTTCTGCCTTTTTGTCACAATTCCCAACAGCGCACCGTCCGCTAGCTGAACTAAACTACATACATTCTGTGAACATACACTCTTCTCTCTTCTCTTCAGCTTTGCTGATCCCATTTTCCGTCTAGGGGACAACCATTTAGCTGCTGCTTTCCTGTGTCTTGTCCAGCGTTCAAAACTGAGATGTCGTCTTCCTTGTAAAAATTTCCTGATTCCTCTTCTGTGAGCTTTTTAACGCTGTACTGTTATTGTGGATTTTCACCAGAATGTGCATTCTTAAGAATGTTGGGACCATCTTATCTATCCGTGAACCTTAGTGCCAACACAGAGCCTGATACTCCATAGTGTTTACTACTTTATCATGAGTAAATGACTGCTGATGGTTTATTGAACAAGTAGAAATCTTCTGGGATAAAATGAAAGAGGCAATTCTTTCAGAGAGAAGAACTAACAGTAAGTAAGTACCTCACTTTTGTGGGACCCTAAAGTATGGTCTGGATGGCTGCAGAAGTTGAAACAGGAGAGGTGGAAGGGTGCCTTATGTGCCTTTCCAAGAAGGTTGGATTTTATGCTATAGAGAACAGACAGCCATTGATGGACTTTTAGCAAGTGAGTGACATAATCAGTGGAGTATCAGACTTGAATTTTGAAAGTCGGCTCTCATGGAGGATGGAAGATAATTGGAAAGGGAAGAAACTGAAGCTATGCAGTCCTAGTGCAGTAATTTCAGAAAAAGATGATAAGGACTTGAATTAAGCATTGGCCGTAGCGCCGGGGAAGAGGACTGGAAAAGAAAGATATAAAGCTGTCCCTGATACAGTGTATTGGTTGTGAACGAATAAATGAAACTAGAGTGCCATTTACCAAGATTGGAGGAGGAGATTTCAGGTCCATGAGGAAAATCTATTCAGTATTACACCGTCAATTTGGAGGTCTCAATATTCTAGCCGTTTTGCCAGACCTCTTTACACCTTGTCCTCACTTATCGACTGCTTCATTATTTGACATTTTGCATTTATGACAATAGTAAAAAATCTACTATCTATTTTGTGCCTTAACGCTGTATGTCTGGCAGTAACAAACACAGAGGTGTGAGGTGAGAGTAACGCCAGCTCTGATGGTTAAGGTTATGTGTTGACTTGGCTAGGCCATGATTCTCGGTGGTTTGGCAGTTATGTAATGATGAAATTAGGAAGTTATCTAATGATGTAGTCATCTTCCATTTTGTGACCTGATGTGGTCATCCTCCATTTTCCCATAACGCTGATTTCACATAATGACCTGTTCTTTGGAAACTAACCATATTGATAAGTGAGGAGAAGGTGTATTTCTAGATTCTGATTCCAAACAAGTGGTCATTTATAGTGAATAGAATTTAGGAATCACACATCCTTCCATTCATTAAACTCCACTTCTCTAGGAAATAACTAGTCTACTTCCTAAATTATTGTTTTAGTAGCTGCAGTGTGATAATTTGTGTTTATTCATGCATTCCAGTTAGCCATTATGGAGGGACTTATTTTCTACTAGAGGAAACTCTGTAGTAAGTAGTAAGTAATATAATTTCTGTGCTAGAAGAAAATAAACCATAAAATATGGAATAAAATTCAATAGGCAATGCAGTTTCATAATTGTTACATTTCAGCTGTTAATTGATTTTCTAAAGTTTGCTTTCCTTCCACCATTTCTTTCTCCAGCCCCTCCCTTCTAGTCAATGTTAGGGTAGGGCCTTTCTATTTCTTTTTTCCCAAAACATTTGTTTAATGTCAAAAAATTCAGAACTAAAGCCTTTAGGATTTGGTCTTTTGAAACCCTACAACTCAAGTTGTTGGGAACCCAAAGCCTTGGTTTTAGTACTCAAAAGCCTTGGTGTTTAAAATTTTAAAACGTCTGCATTTTTGTTGAAATTTCCCTCCCATAATTAATCAGGGGAAGGAAGTAGTGTGGGAAGAGAAAAAAAGCTTATTTGATATATTAAAATATTATTCCTTTCAATAACTTTTATTTATCTGAAACATCTTATTTGTCTGTTTTTTCATATTTAGTAAAGAAATATTATTTTATGTTCTTAGACACCAAAGAGAACACCTAAATAGGAAACAAACAAACAAAAAAACCCAAGTTAACTAAACTTTTAATCAATAAGCAATCAATTAGATTGTTGTAATCCTCTGACATTTTATACATGGAAAGAAAAGTAATTAGTATTAGTGTGGTTTAGATGCCAGCAGCTAGTGAGGGTGTTTTAGGAAGGGTAAATGAAGAGATGTGTGTGTGTGTGTGTGTGTGTGTGTGTGTGTGTAATAGCCACTGCTTCTCGGATCTGGAAAAATATAAGATTTACACCCAGCGAAAACTTATCCAAAGAATAAATTTGAATACTTGCATTATGTTTGAAAAAGATAATGTATTTTTTGTCTCAATTGTTAGAAAAGTATTTAATATGTAGGAAAATAAAACAAGTGCCCAAACCAAACCAGTTGCCATGGAGTCAGTTGAGACTCACAGCACCCCAAGTGTGTGAGAGTAGAGCTGCCACTCCACTGGGTTTTCAGTGGCTAATTTTTCAGAATAGATCATCAGGCCTTTCTTCTGAGGTACCTCTGGGAGGACTCAAACCTCCAAGTTTATGGAGCACGTTAACCGTTTGCACCACCCAGGGACTCCAAAACAAGAACAGAAAACAAAAAAGGTTGCATTCTGAATATTATACATAGCAATATATACCATTTTCGCTGGCCTTTATCATGGAGTTTTGGTGTTAACTGTTTTCTTTGTTCTTTCATTCAGGGAATTTATCAACAGTCTTCGACTGTTCAGGACATTCTATGGAGGCCTGGCAGATCAGCTTTGTGTTAATGAGTTAGCTGCTGCTGATGGACTACCCTGCTGGAATGGAGAAGCTGTAGTAAAAAGGTATTTCATGTTTAGCTGCCTGTGAAGATGCTAGGACTGCTCTTATCCTTGCTTTCTTTTCCTGAATCATTACTTCAGTTTTAACTTTGCCACACAGGTTGAGGTATACGTTAATTCCTTCTCTTCTCATTGCTTAAGAAAGTCTGACTTTTTTTTTTTTGGACATTTAAAAATATAACAGCATTCTGTGTTGTTTGGATGGGTCTTTTCTACCCATGACTTACCCAACAATACTATTTTTTCAATTATGCATCATTTACTTTCTATCCAATTTTGCCTTGTTCATCAAATATTTTACCTTTTTTTATTAGTTTATGAGTATTTAGAAAGTGAGGAAATTTGGTGAAATGAGAATACCTATGCAAAGATTCGTTGATAAATGTATACATGTCTCAGCAGTGTTAATAAGTCCATCTTACAAAAGTCTGTGTGTGTGTGTGTGTGTGTGTGGTGTCTATACAATGGAAGGACACATTTATAGATGCCTATTTGAGGCACTGTATATTTGTATGTTGTCAATTGTTTTCAAACTTTCACTTTTTTTTCTCACTGTCTAGAATTTCAGTTCTTTGACAATTTCTTTGCTTTCTGAACTGATTGTACTCTCGGGTAATCTCCTGAGCTTCAGAAAGTCTGAAATTTTCTCTAAATGTTACATGACAGTAGTCAATAAAATTTGGTTGGGATTGGTCCCTTGTTTTGCCAATGCTGGTGATTATTGTAGAATGTAGGATAATGAGGCTTTGTGTTGTATTTGAATTTGAATCTGTTGTAAGTATACTTTATTTGGAGCAGTCAGCAAAAAAAAAATATAAATAAAGTATTAACCTTTCTTACTTACATATGTACCTACTTTACGTGAAGAGCAATAGCTTAGTTACCAAAGGAATGATGAGTTCATTTTTACGTTATTTAAAAATTCAATGTACTATGATAGATTATAATTAATTTAAAATATGTTGTTGCTGTTGTGTGCCGTCGAGTTGATTCCAACTCATAGTGACCCTACAGGACAGAATAGAACTGTCCTATAGGGTTTCCTAGGCTGAAATCTTTATGGGAGAAGATCACCAGGTCTTCCGTAGAGCTGCTGGTGGGTTCAAACTGCTGAACTTTCGGTTAGCAGCTGAGTACTTAACCATTGTGCCACCAGGGGTCCTAATTTAAAATACAAATGTATGTAATAATAACTGTTTACATATTTTGGGGTCATTATGAGTCCTGGTGGCACAGTGGTAAGTGCTTGGCTACTATCCTAAAGGTCAGTGGTAAGAACCCACTAGCAGCTCCTATAGGCCTGGTGATCCTCTATAAATAGATTACAGCCTAGAAAACCCTATGGGGCAGTTCTACTCTGTCCTACAGGGTTGCTATGAGTCAGAATCAACTTGATGGCACACAGAAACAATAATATTAATCGTGAAGGTTATATTCGTGAGATGTTAAATGATTATTTTGTAGTTCATTTCTGAATATCTCATATTCTTGGATTTCAGAGAAAAAAATTATTGAAGAAAGAAAGTGTAATTAAATTTAAATACAATATTTGCCCCACATGGCCAGTATTCTCTTTTTTTTAATCATTGTGCTTCTGGGACCTGGAAGTGTAAATATTTTCTAAATATTTCTTTTTACCTTTACTAAAAGTTGTGGTAACATACATAGCACTTTCAGTTATTGCAGTATTCATACCAATAAGATTTTTTAAATCGTAGATCTAGTAGTTATATTATACTCTGACTTGTAGTTTCTCTTTTCATACTGTTCAAACTGGAATTGATCTATTTTGAGGATGAACACTTTCTTCTACAAGGCCTAGTGAGAATCCCATGGTGATTAATGAAAAATTTAGCGTATAATATATAGAATACATTACATTATATTATATCATTTGATTTTAGAGCTGCAAAGGCCTTAGTTTCAATTTGTTCCATTCCTCACCTGACTTTTTGGGATTGGTTTGTAATAGGACATATTGTTGGAGAAATCAATGATATAAGAAAACATTCTTGAGAGATAGTATTTTCAACTAAAGAACATATATTCTTCTATATAATAGATTTTTTAAAAGACTTCATTCATTCTTTATGAATAAACAAAGCACATCTTCAGCAAGAATTCTCTATAGAAAGTGTCCATTTCTCTGATAGACAAAATGAGTGAGTCTCAGCATTCTCATTTGCTTCCAGCTTAGGCCTCCCCCTTCCTACATTATCCCTTCCTCCTGTTTATTAAACCAAAAAGCAAACCAGTTGCTGTTGAGTGACTCTGACTCATGGAAACCCATGTGTATCGGAGTAAAACTGCACTCCATTGGGTTGTCAATGGCTGATTTTTGGAAGCAGATTACCAGGCCTTTCTTTTGAAGGTGCCTCTGGGTGTACTCAGACAGGTTGAGTCAGGTAGCAGCTGAATGTTTAACCTGTTATACTACCCAGGGACTCCTCCCCTCTATTAAAAAACAAAACAAAACAAAAAAACAAACTCACTGCCATAGGGTTGATTCCAACTCAGAACAGAGCAAGTGTGCTCCGTAGGGTTTCCAAGGCTGTGAGTCTTTACGTTAGCAGACTGCCACGTCTTTCTCCTGTGGAGCAGCTGGTGAGTTCAAACCTCCGACCTTTCAGTTAGCAGCCACGTGCTTTAACCACTGTACCAGCGGGGCCCCTCCCCTCTATTACCAAAAAAGACTCATAGCAACCCTCTAGGACAGAGGAGAACTGCCCCACAGGGTTTCCAAGGAGTGGCTAGTGGATTTGAACCAGCAAACCTTTGGTTAGCAGCCAAGTTCTTAATCACTCTGCCACCAGGACTTCTCCCCTCTATTAGCCACTTCCAGATGCCCTGTGGGACTCCACTCTCCTGTGAACAAGCTTCACTTTGTCTTAAGTTTCACTCAAGTAACGCTTCCACCTCATCACCTTAACTGAAATTTTCTCTTCTTTGAGGATATTTCCTCTCCTTCACCCATTTCGTGGATGCTTGACCTACCCCCACTTCCTTTGACTCCCAGGGCCATCAGACAAACCTCGAATACTTCCGGCTCCCTCCCACCATCTGCAGGTACATCCAAGAAGAACATTTTCCAGCCCTTATTCTTATGTTCTAGCAGTAAGCTAAGGGGTTTCACAATTCTTTTCCCATTTAATACTCTCAGGACTTTACTCCCTAATGCTCTAAAGTTGATTGGGTGATATCTCTTTTCCATTTGATGTTGAGAAAATTCTCATGTATACTTTTAAGTTTTTTTTTTTTTTTAATTTTAAAATTTGACTTAAATTGTAATTCCATTCATGGCTCAGCCAATTCTTACTTTAAGCTATTTTTCAAATTGTGGTATATATGTGTACACACACACACACACACACACACACACACACACACACACACACACACACACACGTCTATCTCTATCTAACATTTGCCATTTCAGTTTTTTTACATGTACAATTCAGTGACATTGATAACTTTCATCATGTTATGCACCCATCACCACTATCCATTTCCAAATTTTTCCATCAGCCTTAACAGAAGTTCATTGCCCCCTGAGCAACGACTCCCTGCTGTACAATGGATTGCTTTTGAGTGCCCTTTTTCATCATGGTCTTATAATGCTGAGAACCTTCTGGAACCAGGAGGCTGAGAGAGAGCAAGCTGTAACCCTGAAAACGGCAAGAAATGATGGCAGGAGAGACTGGCAGGAGATCGAGCAGTGGGCTTCCTGGCCCACGAATCGAGAAAGCTAAGTGCCTGGGGTGCCTCTGGGAACTTATTGGCAGGGGCTAAAAGAGCTTTGTAACACTTGCCTGAGCAGGGCAGAGGCCTAGGGCCAGAGGAGGTGTGCCTCCGAGCACAGCTGAAAAGAGACTGTCCTGATGGAAGAACTGAGTATCCTGAGTGTTCCTGAGCCTGAATTGTAACCTGTTACTTCCCTAATAAACCCCATAATTGTATTGTCTGTGAGTTCTGTGTGGCCATTGCAAAGAATTACCGAAGCCAGCAGAGAAGTAGAAAGTGCTATGGGAGGGACAGTTGGTGTCAAAATTGATAAAGACAGTGAAGTGAGAAGGCATGTCTGACCTCTGCATCATAGGAACCAGCCTTGGGCTGTTGATTTTGATTCTTCTTTCCCCTTGTCAAGACAGAGGAGATCAGACTCCACTCCCACACCATTTTTCATTCCCTCTTTCCCCCCTCCCTCCCACCTCTGGTATTACTAATAAACTTTGGTCTCTATCCATTTGCCTATTCTAGATATTTCACGTAAGTGGGATCATGCAGTATCTGTCCTTTTGTAACTGACTAATTTCACACAGCATAGTGTTTTCAAGGTTCAGCCATATTGTAGTGTGGATCAGAACTTCATTTCTCTTTATGGCATAGTGATATTCCATTGTATGTATCTACTGTATTTTGTTTACCCATTCATCTGTTGGTAGGCATTTAAGTTGTTTCCCATCTTTTAGCTATTGTGAATAGTGCTGCAATGAATATTGGTGTATCAGTGTTCTTGCTTTCAGTTCTTTTGAGTATATACCTAGAAGTGAAATTGCTGAATAATATGGTAATTTTATGTTTAACTTTTTGAGAAAATGCCAATCTGTTTTCCACAGTGCCTGTACCATTTTGAAGTCCCACCAGCAATGGATGAGGGCTCCAGTTTCGCCACATACTGCCAATTCCTGTTGATATTCATTTTTGATCGTAGCCATTTTAGTTGAGGTGAAGTGATATGATATCTCATTGTGGTTTTGATTTGCATTTCTCTAATGAATAATGATGTTGAACATTTTTTAATGTACTTATTGGCCATTTGCGTTTGTTTTTTAGTGAAATATTTATTCAATTCTTTTGCTCACTTTTAAAATTGGGTTGTTTGTCTTTTTATTGTTAGGTTGTAGAAGTTCTTTGGAGCCCTGGTGGTGCAGTGGTTAAGAGCTCAGCTGCTAACCAAAAGGTTGGCAGTTCAAGTCCACCAGCTGCTCCTTGGAAACCCTGTG